CAAGAAAACACATAAAATTGTAGTTTTAAGTTTTGATAAAACTTTTAATAAATTTAATATATTTCATTACCACATAGAAAACAAGATAAACACAGCAAAAGTATACAGCCTTGATTATTAATTACATGCTAATCAAAACTACTTTTTACTCCGGTCAATCGTATCCAGTCAAGGTACTCACTCAAATAAGTACTGATTAATATTAATTAACTACATGTACATATTGTGACGTTGTGCGGAGAAACAGAGCTGAGGCTGGGTCCAAACGCAGTGTAGCTTTATTAACAAACTTGAAACAAGACACAAGACTAGAAGCAGGACTCGAGAATCATGAAAGCACCAACGTAACACACATAAATTCAACAACCAACAAAGACAGGGCAGAAACACAGGGCTTAAATAATCAAGGACAAACGAGCTAGACAAGATAACAAGGGGGCGTGAGAAATGAGAAACACCTGGGATAAATAATAGACGGGCAATAACTAACGAAAACACACTAAAACACTTCGTGACACATATACAGAGTTGCGGTTATGGATTATTTACTTGTAATTATGCATAATTTCCTGTCATCACTAGTACATGTAGCATGTGTAATACGGCACCTAATACGGGGTTTTATGCTTTTTCACTTTTTCAACACACTGTAAAAAATATTGTTGGTTTAACTTAAAAAAGTAAGTAACCTGTTTGCCTTAAAATTTTAAGTTGATTGAACTGGAAAAAGTGAGTTAATACAATGAAGGAGAATGATTTAATCATCAGAAACTCAAAATAATAAGTTATCTCAACTAAATAAATTATTTAAGTTGATTTGACAAAAGAAAAAATTTTGTGATTACTACACTGTAAAAAGATATTGTTGGTTTAACTTAAAAAAGTAAGTAACTGATTCTGATTCCGATTCCGATTCCTTGTTTCGATTCCGGTTCCTAACGATTCTCGATTCCGATTCTTTTAAGAGGCAGGGTCAAAAAAGTTTAGCTAACCTTGCTAACCAACGGCCTTTCTGAAGGAAATACTCCTTCTGTCACAAATTTTGCATTTTGCCGAGATTTCGTTATTTTTAGAAGAGTGAAGCCACACTTTGGACCGCCGACGTAAGCTACTCATGTTCGACTCGCGCGGTTATGCCAACACTTCCGGTAGACGCTTCTTCGTTGGTGTTGTTCAGCGGTTTCTTCTTCAGCTCGGTGGACTGTGAATATCGAAACTAGGAATCGAAATTTGAACTTTTGAACGATTCCGGGAAAAACGAAAAGTTAGTCCCGGTTCCAATCGATACTCGATTCTCGATACCCAACCCTACTTAAAACCTGGGTTGCCTTAAAATGTTCAAGTTGATTGAACTGGAAAAAGTGAGTTAATACAATGAAGGAGATTAATTTAATCATCAGAAACTCAAAATAATAAGTTATATCAACTAAATAAATTATTATAAAGTTGATTTGACAAAAGAAAATATGTTGTGATAACAAATCTTGAAAATATTTTTTTACAGTGCATTAGTTAGTGTGCAATGTTGCCGTTTGAGCATAAAAAAGGTAACCAAACCAAGCTGAAAGTTCACTCCAAAAAGAGATATTTTATTTAGCAGAATCCCCTTTTCAAGATCTGCAACGAACAGCTCATTTGGACTACAAAGGCTTTATGAATCCATAATGTTTCTCATTTAAATAATCCCTGCCCTCTGAATATGCAGAAGAGCAGCCGAGGCCTGGATGAGCCGCTGCGGTCGAAGAGATGCTGTTTTCCACAACTCATACGCGTGACCTTCCTACGGCTGACGGACTTTCCGTTCCTGGACTTTATAACCCTGATGTTTATCTGTGTGCTGCATATTTTACGGAGAACAGCTTCCAGAACCGTAACCGGCTGCACACTAAAGCTTCTCCTGAAACGGAGCAGTTCAACTTCGTCAGGATAATCTGTTGTTTATGGATCACAACTTGTAAATATGTCTTATTATTTGTAGTTGCATCTATTAACAGTTCTAATTCTTAGCTTCATGTTGTCGCTACGCTCTCCTGCTAGCCAACATTAGTGTTGTTTAAGTTGTGTTTATCTGAGATGATTATCTGATGTATCATAGAGCTTATTTTTAGCGACAATCCAAAAACATATTTTGTCGAGGAAAGTAATGCTAACTGCCGGTTGGGCTACAAAGTGCAGTGGTGGAATGTAACAAAGTACAAATACTTTGTAACTTTACTTAAGTACATTTTTCACGCATCTTGAATTTACGCAAGTAAAATAAATGTGCACACTTTTTACTTTTACTTCGTTACATTTTGCAGCAATTATTATACTTTCAACTCCACTACATTTCTACAACTTCTGTTACATTTTCATTACATTTTCTGATCAGTTTTTCCCCTGCCAAAACGTAATTTGATCATCCGTTCGTTGCACGTTTGTCTCACCAGTGACGTTTGGTTGCCATAGATACATCAACTAAATGCGTCTCGCACGCAGTGTGTTTATCGCGCATTTATACGCGAAAATTTGTTTTTACGTGCATTTTGTGTAAACACACTTTGTGTAATGTACATTTGGTTAGGATTATGGCAAGCCAAGAGGTTCAGAATAACACCATAAATAAATCGCGTTTACTGCCAAATATAGTTATTAACATATAGTAAGGATAATATTGCCTAATTGCAAGCTTGTTTCAGAAATGGTGACAACAACTTTTTTCCATCATTATTGAACATCATTATAGGAGTATTAAGTTGAATGAGTTAGAATTAAATGTTTTATTAATCATTAAGAGAATAAATTGTTATGCAAGTACTTTTACTTTTAATACTTAAAGTACATTTAAAATCAGGTACTTTTTACTTAAGTATGGTTGTCATTGTGTTACTTCTACTTTTACTAAAGTAAATATTTATCTGGATGTTTGTACTTTTACTTAAGTACTGAGATTCAGTACTTCCTCCACCACTGACAAAGTGACATCATATCTGCACACCTCTATTACAACACAGTGGGCCAGTTGACCAATCACAGCACAGTTTGTATTTCGGAGGGAGGGGCTTCATTGAAAACAACGCATTCGGGACAGACTGCAAAGAGAGAGGAGCAGTAATAATGTAAAATATGTTAAGTATTATGCGTTTTTTGAATAATCAAGCATGAAAGCATATTTTAGTACATCCCAAAAACTAAATCAAGATTTTGTAAAAGGAAGGGCATAATAGGACCCCTTTAAAATAAAGTGTTACCATCCATTATAAATCGCACTGATGTAAAAAGACACGCACTATAGAGACATATTTTACTGTTCAAACTTCAAACACACCACTGACCAATCAGAATCAATCTATTATGACAGCCATCTATAAATAAAAGCTTTTTCTAGACAATTTCAACACAAACTAATCTATGGCAGGCAGCGAGACACAGCAACAGTGAATGTATAAAATAATAACTCAACGCACCACAGAAACCTAATGTCTCAGGCATAAAAACACATGCACAAGATCCCAGAATCAAAGTTTGAGCCGCTGGATGCGGATGAAGTGGCGTTTCTCTGCTGCGCACTCGTTCATGAGCTCAGGGAGGGACGGGGAGGCTATTTTGGGAGCTGCAGTAGGTGTCTGTGGGTTCACCTTTGCTCAGGATGCGAACGGGACCCTTTCAAGAGCGTTCTGGCGTGTGTGTGTGTGTGTGGGTGCGTGGATGAGAACAGGGTTAGGGCTCTGTGTGTGTGTGTGTGTGTGTGTGTGAGAGAGGGGGTGAATTGGTATCGACAGAAGAGAGCCGAGCGGTAACTATGCAGCGGTATCCATGGAGCCGTAACCATAGCAACGGCGCTCGGAAAGCCAGGGTCTTTAATTGGTGAGTGTGAATATAGATAGAGAGAGAATAGCCATGCCTCTGACACAATATTGTTTCGAGCAAACAACTCGCATAAATGTGGCCTGAAACCTGCTTTTGTTTCACCGTGTGGAACCATTTCCCCCCCGAGACATCTCTCTTGTATCTTTCAGCCGTGTGAACATTTACATTGGCAATCACATCAAAATTATTACAGCTATAAAGCAGCACTATTAAACAATGAATTTACTTTCCAAGCCATCGCACATGCACTCGGGTCTGCTAGACCATAAAATGGACACATATATCAATCTGATAGACTTGCGCACAATATCTAGACACTACAAAAATCATAGACCTAAATTTAAGATATATGACACATGCATATACAATTTCCATTCATATGCATTACTCAGATTTAATATTAACTTGATGCATATTTGTCAGTCATGCATAAATGAAACGGGTTTATGAACACTGTAATAATACTAATAAACCGAATGTTTTTATTTGTCATCAATAAATCCAATTGGTTTCAATTTTAACAAGCCGAATATTGCTTGAATATCCACAGCTAGTTCATGTGCATACTTTATGTTGAGATTTATGCTGATTCTAAGCAGTTTGAATAAATGCATACAACATTAAAACAAATAGATGCAAATAGTCTAAATAAAAATGTGTATTTCAATAAAAATGCATCACATTAAGTTTATTAGTTGTGTTAAAACTGTGTGGAAATATATGAAGAGTTCAGATGCAAAAGCCTCTAAATGCCATTTCAAATTTTCTTCTTTAATGATGATTTTTATCAAACTTGTATATTTAAGTTCAATAATTTCACTTAAATGGCAATGATAATTGATATGCAATTGAAATAAATTGAGGCCTAAATATTAGCAATAGCAAGAGAAAACAAACGAGAACCCTTTGGCAGATGCTTGGTAATGCAACTTTTGCTTGTGCAAATACTGTAACTGTATATAGTAGCAGATTTTATAATAGTGACAGTAACTGCACTATTTTGGAGGAAACTATGGTTACCATGGTGATGTGTTCAGTAGAAATAGTTGAATCGTGTTTCTATGTGGGTAGTTTGGTAGTAACACATTGCATCTACTGTAAACCCGTCCAGTTATTATCAGTGAAAGAAAGCAGGAAGAAAACACACTTACATTGTCCACTGCAGCTTTTCATTTTTAATAGAGTTGTACAGGGCCTGCGGAAAGAGAGAGAGAGAGAAAGAGAGAGAGTCAGTAACACTCACACCTAAGCTGTGAATGACTGAGTTTGGTTTCAGAGGCTGCGTATGAGTTGCATCATATATATTCTGCTGTAACTGGCATCATAATCAGGCCGTGAGAGATGACTAAACCCCAAAATAAACACAATTGACCCAAACACCGTTGCAAAGTCATTCTGGCCATACCTAAAAATCAGTAAAGCATTCATTTAACTCTAAAACCAAAAATCGCAACTTTTTCCATTTTATATCTGCAAAAATGTCAATAAATAAAACAGAAATATTATATATTAATATAATATAAGAAAGGCAAAAATAAATTAAACCTTCTCTTTCAATACAAGAGATTATTAAAACTGAATCCTACTGATCTTTAGCACTTCATTGACACATCATCAGTGGACGTCAGTCGTAAAACACCTGCGTCACAGTGGAAGCCTGTCTCAATCTGAAGCGAGTCAAAGACTGTCCCTGTATTTGACAAAACCATTCTCAATGATATTGATTCATTCATTAAATAAAAGTGATTTTGTTTTATTAAATTCTAAAAAATGCAAAGTTAAGGCTTGAGTTGGGGATTTATATAAAAGCAATAAAAGTCTATGGTGTGTTCCTATTCAGATGGTAAGATGAACATGTGTGAGGCTCTCTAATAAGCCTATTATTCACTCTATATATCCTTTCATCAAGAAACCTCAGCTAATAATCTCTCAGTCCCTCGGGACAAAGCAAACCAATGTTCATCTCAAACACAATCTTCAAAATAAAGCTTCTCAATGTGTGTTTTAGCATCAATGCCATAGAAGAACCATTTCTGGTTCCTCGAAGAACTTTTCCGCCAACAGTTTTAATAATCTAAAGAATCTTTTTCCAATTTAAAAGAAACTTTTGTGGAATGGAATATTAAAGGTTCTTAATGGAACCATCAATGTTAATAGAGGACCTTCATTATTAAAGGGATACTCCACCCAAAAATGAAAATTCTCTCATCATTTACTCACCCTCAAGTTGTTGCAAACCTGTGTGAGTTTCTTTCTTCTGGACAACACAAAGGACGATATTTTGAAGAACGATTGGACCAATTTCAGTATTTTTTTTTCTACTATGGAAGTCAATGGTGCCAAACAACTGTTTGGTTCCAATTGTTCTTCGAAAAAAAAGTTGATAGTATTTCTTTGTTACTAAAATAAAGTCTAAAATGTAGCTTGACTAGTGATCCAACTCTGCCATGTCCTCTATCAGTAGGCTGCAATGAACACTGATCGAATGCGTTACTCTCTACATTTCATTGTGACTTTTTTTCTCGAAACACAACGACTTTATTCTCGATATTTAAAGAGTTTATTCTCAAAATTGCATTTCGACTGTTTTTTATCGAAATTTAACACGTTTCTTTTCTCGAAACACATTGACTTTGTTCTCGATATTTAATGAGTTTATTCTCAAGATTGTATTTCGACTTTTTTCTTGAAATTTAACATGTTTTTTCTCGAAACACAATGACTTTATTCTCGATATTTAAAGAGTTTATTCTCAAAATTGCATTTCGACTTTTTTTCTTCGAAATTTAACAAGTTTTTTTCTCGAAACACAATAATTTTATTCTCGATATTTAGAGTTTATACTCAAAATTGCATTTCGACTTTTTCTCTTGAAATTTAACACGTTTTTTCCCGAAACAACGACTTTATTTTCAAGATTGTATTTCGACTTTTTTTCTCGAAATTTAACACGTTTTCCCCCCAAAACCAACGACTTTATTCTCGATATTTATTGAGTTTATTCTCAAGATTGTATTCCGACTTTTTTTCCTCGAAATTTAACACGTTTTTTCCTCGAAACACAATGACTTTATTCTCGATATTTAAAGAGTATATACTCAAAATTGCATTTCGACTCTTGTTCTCGAAATTTAACACGTTTTTTTCCCCAAAACAATGACTTTGTTCTCGATATTTAATAAGTTTATTCTCAAGATTGTATTTCGACTTTTTTTCTTGAAATTTAACAAGTTTTTTTCTCGAAACTCAATGACTTTATTCTCGATATTTAAAGAGTTTATTCTCAAAATTGCATTTCGACTTTTTTTCCTGGAAATTGAACACGTTTTTTTCCCGAAACAACGACTTTATTCTCAAGATTGTATTTCGACTTCTTTCTCGAAATTTAACGTTTTTACCCCAAATCCAACGACTTTATTCTCGATATTTAATGAGTTTATTCTCAAGATTCTATTACGAATTTTTTTCTCAAAATTTAACAAGTTTTTTCTCGAAACATGACTTTATTCTCGATATTTAATGAGTTTATTCTCAAGATTGTATTTCCACTTTTTTCCCCGAAATATGAACAAGTTAAATCTCGCATTATAATGACTTTAATCTTGAGATGGTTTTATTTTTTTATTATTGCTTGGCCCTAATCCTCTTCTGTAGGTAACACTGCATTCAGGTATAACATTTTTTTTTTAGCAAGTATTGCATTTGGAAATATATTTAGACATTAATCAAAGACTAATTTCTCTCACGTAGAATTTATTTAAAATGTTGTTGAATCTTCTGCCTTGGTATCTGGTCTGAACATTTGATCTCACTCTGCCTCTGTGTGTGTGTAAGTGTGTCAATGGCTGCCACCAACTGTCTTCTAAATATCTTCTATTGTGTTCAACAGAACTCATACAAGTTTGGAACAACTTGAGAGCGAGTAAATGATGACAGAATTTTCATTTTTTCATTTTTTTTGGGCGAATTATCCCTTTAAAAAAACTCAGAATTGTGTCAGAACAATAGTGGAGAATAATGTTGGCTCAACCATGTAATTTTTTGGCCTCTGGGGGAGCAATCATGACAGATGATCAGATGAGAGGTAAAGTGAAGCGAGACAGGGTTACCCTCTTCCTCTTGCGGGCCTGCGGGTGGTTCTTTCCATCTTGGGCTTTTCCCAGGAGGTCCGGGAACACCAGAGGTTTGAGCGACCGGGATCGGGGCGTTCGTGGGTAACGGAACGGGTCCATCATACGGAAATCTCGCCCGTACCGGACCGAGCAGAGCGAACGTGAGCGTAAGCGCCCGGCCGAGTGCAGACTGTTCACTCCAATCATGCTCGAGAACGCAGTGCACTGTGGGAAACTATTAACTCCAGGTGGGGGTTTAGATCTTTCAGAACAAAAAAGAGAATAACTCGAGAAAACCCAGCAGGTCTTCTTCCACAAGACGACGAGGTAACTCCAAAAGACAAAAAAAAGATACAAAAATCCAGATTACAAACAACAGAACATGACCTAATCCAAGAGCTTAGATAGATGGATGAGAAAAAGAAGTGTGAATAAAGTGTTATAAACAAGGGAGTCTGTGACCATCTGTAGGATTCACAACACACTACACGTTTGTGACGTTGAGGAAACGCAGAGTGTTAGAGCAAAAAAAATGACAATGATCCTGAAATGTAGGAGATTTCCCTCGCGGACACTGAACACATGTAGTGGTCACTCACAAACACCATTAGGACAACTTCGAAAAGCTACACACATTCCCCATGCACACACACACACACACTGAGCGATGCCACAGATGGCAAGCAAAGCTTTCAGAAGTGTGAAAGAACAGATGGAATGAGGCGAACGGAAACCGGGATAAAACATGAAACGCCCTCACAAAAACACACAGCAATCCCCACACCTGCACCCGCTCCAGATGATGTCCCAAATTCAGCACACACACTCCCACATGAAGACGGAAGGATCTGTGAGCCTGTTGCTTTGAGATTCAGACGAGATGTTCAGCTGGACGCGTTTTCTTCCATCCTCAACCAAACGCTTTCAAAAGATCCGCATCCCTCCTCTTCGCATTCGTTTATCTATCAGTCCATCTGGGATCCATCTGTCCTGGAAGAGCTCCGTGTGTGTGTGTGTGTGGTCTCCCTCTGGCCGGCACAGAGTCACAGGTACGTCCACGTATGATCTGAAACGTCCACCGTCCCGTGTGCTCGTCTTTCTGCTCCTGTTTTATCTCTCAGGCTCGCAGATGCAAAGTCTCGCAATCTCAGAGACTCGAAGGAGGCTCTCTCGCTCGCTCGCTCATTCTCTATCTCTCTCTCTCTCCCCCCTCAGGTTTCAGGCAGCCAATCACAGCGATCCAACACACACACACGCGCACACACACACGGCTTGCTTTACTTTGAATGCTGATTAACATTCAGAACTGGTCCTCAGAGGTGGGATGGAGAGGGAGAGAACATGGAATTATGGAATTATGGGAGAGAGACGAACACAAAGAACGTCATAAAACTACAAGTGTGACATTATTCTGTAAAAAATGTAGTCTATAAAAAAGCATTGAGACGAGACGAGATAAAAGGGGGTGAAGCGAATTAAAACTTAACATCCAGTCAGATCACATTTCACACCAAAATAAAAAGGAATATTATAATTTTTTTGCATTACAGAAGAGAGGTTCTTTTCTTTTGGAGTGAAATACAGTATGACCTACAGTTCACATGTAATGTGTATGTGTGTGTGCATATATATATATATATATATATATATATAAAATGTATGTATAAAACATGATGCATACAAAATGTTTGTATAAAACATCCAGTCAGATCCCATTTCACACCTAAATAAAAAGAAATATTATATATATTTTTTGCATTACAGAAGACAGATTCTTTTCTTTTGGAGTGAAATACAGTATGACCTTCTCGACCAGTTTTATCAGATTTGATGCGTGTGTGTGTGTGTGTGTATATATATATATATATATATATATATACAAACAACTGCTAAATAGAAGCATGTATTTTTAAGATTTCTTGATTATAAAAATAAATAATCAATCTCTTTGCCCTTATAAAAAGCTACAACATATGCATTTGAAATATGGTTCATTTATTATTAATCTCCCTTTGATACATATTCAAAACAGATCTAGGGCAGAATTCATCTGCATTTTTATAGTTTCAACATCCTAAAATGTTATTAAATTTTAATTTTTAATATCCAAGACTACAATTTTATTATCTGTTGGTGTAAAAAGTATGTAAAAAATGTATATGCATTTTAAAAAAGTTAATTTCGCTTTTGATTTACTGACGGCAGTAAAATGAACAAAACCTGGCGATCGGGTTCTCCAGGATAACTCGAGATGTTTCAAAGAAACCTTGCAAAATCTTTACTCAAAATCCACTGTAACAAATAAGAAAGAAAAAGTGCATGGTTATATTTGGTAAGCTCTGAGCAATGCTTGTTGTGGAGGATATGACGTGTGGATGTTGGAGTTGATCAGGACAGTCTCAGCACAGCCAGTTGGCTCAACAGGAGAAAGCTAATTGTTTCCACTCTCCGTCTGTCGTTATCTCACCACACAGACAGACTTGCACTAAAATGGGTCGCCGTCAACCCGCGACCGCCCTATCAGTGCCAGGGCCTCGGTTCCCGCCCCTCCGTCGCCATGACGACGACGCACTTCAAGCACTCTTCATCACCGGCGTGTGCAAAAGCCCACAAGCAGCCCACGTGTGTGTGTGAGACGCAGTTACAAACCCATCGTTTTCCACCGCCGCACTAAATAAATGCCTCCTCCGGGGCACACAGCACCAAATCTTTGCATTTGACCTCATTTTCCACAACAGATGTGACTGAATATTAACTCACAACGCACAAAACAACTTTACATTAACAAATGCATGTGCAAAAAAAAAATAGGCTTGGATGGTGTCCACTACGGTGTAAATAAATAAACACACGGTCCACATTGTAAACATAATAGGAATTTGTACAAAAACAATGTCATATTATAATTAAATAAATATAACACACACAAACAGTATATAATATTACCATAAATAATATTTATTCTATTAATATTTATTGAATTATATTTAATTTAATTTTATAATTAAAAAAATTTATTACACAGTAAATAATATAAACATAAAACAATATATAAAACCATAAATAATAATATAAATAAAATTAGTAATATGTGGGTGCACTGTGTGTATATATATATATACAAACATATATATATATATATATATATATATATATACACACATATACTGTACATGCATGTATATTTAAGAAAAAAAATATTATTTTTAATAATATAAACTATATATAAATCTATATACAATATATACATGAAAATATTTCTTAAATATATACAAGCATGTGTGTATTTATATATATATATAAAAATAATTATACACAGTACACCCACATATATTATGTAAACACAAACTTTTATTTTGGATGGAATTAATCGCGATTAATCGTTTGACAGCCCTAATATATATACACACACACACACATATAATCACACTATAATATAACATTACCATACATAATATTAATTTTTTTATAGTTTTAACATAAATCTTATAATTATATTTAATAATTTCTATATATATATATATATAGAGAGAGAGAGAGAGAGAGTTCATTTATAATATTTTATTTAATAATAAACAAAGCAAGCCACAAAAACCCATGGTTAAAAGATTAGGCTATTTACAGTTTCAATGATGGCAAGCAACATGCCATACCAATATAATCTTTCTGATGTGTGATCACTGGTGTGTGTGTGTGTGTCTCATCTTTGAAAGTTGCTCATCCAATCAGCTTTCAGAGCCAAAACAATCAATTTTATACTAAACAATAACCATTCGTGCAATAATTCGCAACCCACAATAACAGCTTTGCTTTCTATGACAGTGTGTGAGTGAGATGTGCTTATATAAGCTGCCCCGCTCAGCTGTTGAGTTTAACTGAGAGATGAGAACGAGTAGGAGGAAAGAATGTGAGAACTGATGTTGCGAGGGACAGAGAAAAGGTTCGCCGGAGGGAAAGACAACTAAAAGAGAAAGTGAGGTCGTCATAAGAGCTATAGAGACTGTCGTAAAGCACTAATATCAGTCTTTTCATTCGTCTATCGCTCTTCAAACTGCTTCTGTCCCAGCGAGGAGGAGTCAGTGTTTTTTTTAATGAAGAAGATGAAGACTAAAACACAAGCAGCTCCTCAGATAAACCTCGCCGCTGTGGCTTTATAAAAGCACGGAGATTTCAAAGCACTCATGCCATGAAAAACAGGATTTTCTCGGCTTTTCTACAGTCACGATGTGAAGCCGCTTCACAAACGAGGCCATTCCTGACGGATGGGTCAGTGCACACCAGACTGAAACCAACACTAACCCACTATTGTTCAGAATAGCATACGGTCATAATTCTCTTTCTGCTTCTGAGTGTTGTATAATGTGCGTAGTACCTTTCTCTTCCTGTGTGAAAAACACCCAAATGTGATATGTAACATCTCATTCAGGATCATTATTTTGTCTGACTGACACATTTAATGTGAAAACTAAAATGTAAATAATTAAAAATTGGATGATGGTACAACTTTAAGAGGTCACAGGACATTGGAATCTGCTATCTTCCACATAATAGTGTTCAAAAATAGTAGTCAGTGTGCAGTAAAAAGTATGATAGCATCTGAAGACATTAACATTGTCACATAGGTATGTTAGAGTCATTTCAGCAGTTCAGAAGAGATCATTTCTTTTAGGCCGGAGACAAACGTGTCACCACCAGCGTCGCGTTTTCTATCCCTGCGTCCCAATTCGCCTACTTATACTACGCCCTAAAAGTATGTACTAATTTTTGTGAAGAAAAAGTACAAACTTTTGAGTGTGTAGCAAAAGAGTAGGCAAGCTTTGGGACATAATACTGAGTCATCTTTAACGGACCGCTCTGTCGCATGCGTCACCATAAACTGACCTGTCAATCATCTCGGCACAGTTAAAGGAGTAGTTCACTTTTAAAAAAACCTTTTTCTGATAATTTACTCACCCCCATGTCATCCAAGATGTCCACGTCTTTCTTTCTTCAGTCGAAAAGAAATTAAGGTTTTTGATGAAAATATTCCAGGATTTTCTCCATATAATGGACTTCAATGGGGTCCAAACGGTTCAAGGTCCAAATGACAGTTTCAGTGCAGCTTCAAAGGGCTTTAAACGACACCAGACGATAAATAAGGGTCTTATCAAGCGAAACAATCGCTCATTTCAAAAATAAATAAAACAGTTTAAGTTTTATGAGTTCAAATGCTCGCCTGTGTGACGCGCGTTCGTGACTCTCCTGTTCGAACTCGTTCATCAAAATAAACGAATCTTTTTTCGAGTCATGACTAGAAGGGTCCTAGATAAGACCCTTATTCATCGTCTGGTGTCGTTTAAAGCCCTTTGAAGCTGCACTGAAACTCTCATTTGGACCTTGAACCGTTTGGACCCCATTGAAGTCCATTATATGGAGAAAATCCTGGAATATTTTCATCAAAAACCTTCATTTCTTTTCGACTGAAGAAAGAAAGACATGGACATCTTGGATGACATGGGGGTGAGTAAATTATCAGCAAAAGTTTTTTTTAAAATCAATGTGTCTCCGGCCTTAGGAGACAATAACTTTATTTTATTTGTCATGCACTTTTAAATAAAAAGAGCTATATTACACACTACATGAAAGGTATTATTCAAAAAAAAATCATAATGGGGCATTTTAAATGACCGTAGTTCTTAATTTGCCTTTTGTTTTCTTAAAAAAGCTAGTGAAATGAGAAACCATCACACATAGTTGAATCTCACTGAATCAAAATGAGATGATCTTGGCCTCTTCAAATGAAGTGACCAGCGCCAGATCACACACAGCCCAAACTAATCCAGCCCTCATTTAGCTCATTACAATTAACTCAAGAACTCATCTGATTAGTGCCTGCAGGGTTAATGAATGGAAGAAAAACATCCCCAGTTTCCTACCAATGACATTACAGCACTAATCTAATAATATAAACCAATAAATGACCTACTAAAGAGTCATCGCTTCCCACCGGGACACAAATCTCTCTCGCTTCAAATAACAAACGCTATAGCACTGCTGTCACATGCTGTTTACACAATCAACCTGTGCCAATACACACACACAAACTCTATCTATTAAACATGCACATCCTCCAACAACTTCACTGTGGACATTTCACCATCAATAACACAATAATGCAAACAATGCGGTTTCAACATGCAGCTTTAGCAAGAGATGTTTCTGCCATATGCAGTGCATTACCTTGAGGAGGTCTTTAGGAAAATCACTGCCACCGTTTAGTCCTTCCAGATTCCCGATGAACTGAGAGCAGGACATTCGCTTGCCGACGTTCTAACAACAGAAGAGATCAATGAGCACAACTGCACTATGAATTAGCATTATAACAGACTGAAATACATTTGACACATTTGATCATTATTCACATGACAATTAAGCACTTTTAAATGCAGTTTGGCACACTTAAAAAAACAAAAAAGTCATTATTTAAATTGTAATGCACTATTGTAAAAAAAAAAAATTGTATTTAGTTATATATATATGCTATATAGCACATAATTTATCATTTTCTTATTATTTATTTATTTAGTGCAGATTTTTCTTTTTTTAAATCTGGGCAGGATGATTTCCAGTACTGTTTAGGAGTAATACGGAAGATTTTTTCGATAATGCAATAATTTTTGGCAATAATAAATTGAGGGAAAATGTCATAAATAATACAGAAAAACTTAGTGAAGAAAATCCCCCAAAGTATGTATGCATGTCCCAATAAAGTGTAGGATGCATCGATGTGTATGTAGGCATTTTTTATATATGTGCGTGTGTGTGTGTATATAAATATATATATATATATATATATATATATATGAAGAGTTCAGATGCAAAAGCCTCTAAGTGCCATTTGAAATTTTCTTCTAGAATGATCATTTTTATCAAACTTGTATATTTAAGTTCAGTGATTTCACTTAAATGGCAATGATAATTACCTATTAATTGTTATAAGTGAAATTACTGAACTTAAATATACAAGTTTGACAAAAATCATAATTAAAGAAGAAAATTTCAAATGGCATTTAGAGGCTTTATCTGAACTCTTCATATATACACATATTATATATATATAGTTCTTTACTTTGATTTTGGTACAAAATATGTCAAGGACATCAATTATGCATTTGTAAGTACTCAAAAAAAGTTTGCACATTTGCAATTTATTTTCAGATGAGATGTCAGAGTCAGGCCACTTTGAGCATTTTACCCCTCTTGAAGTCAGCATGACATGTCCGACATTCAATCTGCGAGTGTGTGATTGAGGCTCATAATATGTCTGGAGCTGTAGAAAGGCTCTGGAATACATAATCTGATATTGTGGACAGTAGAGCAGAGTTTCATCACAGGAAAGCTGAAATCGCTCGGTTCTCATCAGGACCATAAACCGGTTACCATGGCGACAGTGAGCCTGGCCTATAACAGGCGTTGTGTGTTCACTGACAGCCCTAAACCCTTCAACAAAGGCACAGGAGCAAAGCTAAATATCCTTCGAGCAGGAACGGATGCAGACAGACAGCAGATTGACGGATCACACTTCCCTCTGGACATCATCTCTCTGCCTTTTCCAGTGCACACTTCCATTAAACGCGGGGCTTTTTGTGCTTTTTCACAAACTGAGATAGGGGGTCAAAATTATACTTCGCAAAAAAAATATATACAGAGCCGTTTAATCACGACTTCAAGCCAGAATGCTAATAATCTCAGAATTTCAAAAGGATTTTTAGAGGATATTTCATGAAGATCTGCCTTTTTCCGTGCTATAATCGGTGCATCTACCGACCCATAAAATATGAAAACTGAAAGCCTAGTAACTTTGTTTTGGTAAGCCTTTCTCTGCAAGCATGTCAAAAAATAAGCCAATCAGATTTCGCTCCCCTTCTGCCGTAAGAGGATCTTATTATAATATTACCACCCCTTAATCTGCACATTTCCAGCGACAACAGTGACCAGTTCTAACGCAATGGCAAAAGTTGCAGCAAAGCACGCAAACTATTTAGAATTCTATATAGAATCTTAAATGGATCACGCTAATAGAACCATTTAAGATTCTATATAGAACCTTTTCTTCTAAGAGTGTGTCGACGGCATATGGATGTTTGTAAACGGTTTATTCCTGCTCAGGTACTTCAAACTTCTTTCCACCCTTAAGCGAAAAACTGATAAAGTTGTAAAAAATCCTACTAGTTCCTCTTTAAAATGAGAGTCTCAGACTTCTGAAACCGAATGAATGTCCTTTAAAGTGTGGACTCTGCGACTCTGCTGCACTGCATTTAAGACGGAAGATTTTCCATTACTCTTGTCTGTATGGTGAAGTAATAATAAAGTGTTCATCCGTGCGTTCACTCACGTGGCCGTGCAGGTCTGTGTTGAGCAGCATAAGAGCACAGGTCAGTGTGTGGACACCGTCTGCGAGACAGAACATACACAAGATCATATACACTCACGTATGCTCTTTTTATCATATGAGAGACAAAGAGAGAGAGAGAGAGAGAGAGGTTTACCTTCAGATAGTGTGAGGGATGGATTGCACTGCTGATATCGATGGGAAAAGTGTGCTAAAATTCGCTCTCTCTCCTGCGTCTCGCCCGTCAGTGCAAATTCTATTAAAAATGCCCTGAAATAAACAAATAAGAGTAAAGAAATGCCCTGAGATAAACACAAGCTGATGAACAAAATATTATACACCTGTCATTAATATCATTGATATAATCCAAAATTAAATGTATAGATACCATTATACAGGAGTCCAGTATTTTTAAATTGACTTCAAATCCTATACATAACATGCATATTATATATATATATATATATATATATAAGGGCTATCAAACGATTAATCGCATCCAAAATAAAAGTTTTTGTTTACATAATATATGTGGGTGCACTGTGTATAATTATTATATATATATATATATATATATATATATATATATATATATATGCATGTATATTTAAGAAAAAAATATTATTTAGATATAAAATATTTATATTTATATGTAATATAAATCTATATACAGTATATAAATGAAAATATTTCTTAAATATATACAAGCATTTGTGTCTATTTATATATATTAAATAATTATACACAGTGCACCCACATATACTATGTAAACACAAACTTTTATTTTGGATGCGATTAATCGCAATTAATCGTTTGACATTCCTATATATATATATATATTCCTATATAATCGTGATTAATCAACATTACATGATTTATTACTAGAGTTTATTAATATTATATACTACATCTCTTTCTCTCTCTCTCTCTCTCTCTTTCTGTGTGAATTACAATACAAAATTAAATGTGTATATATATATATATATATATATATATATATATATATATATGTCAATATATATATAGAGTCCAGTATTCTTCAGGTGAATTATTTACCATTTGCATATTTAATGTGCTGACCTTAGCGCTTGGTCCAAAGTCATTCCTGTAAAAGTGAAGAAGTGCAGATATTCCTCTGCTACCATGCGACTGAAGTCATTGCTAAAAAGGAGTCAGATATAAGAAAGACAATCAAAGAAGATGACAATGCAAGAACAAACAAGAGAGAGGTGGGACGCAGGGTGACAGACGTGTCCGAGGCCTGTCAAAGATGCATCGGTGGAGGGAAATTCCCATGGTGCACCTGTCAGAGAGAGAAAAGCTCTTACAGTACAGATGCTCTGAGCAATACAGGCAAAACCAGAGAATAAAAGCAGCATGAAAACCTGCTTTATATAACACTAACACTCCGGCAGAGACCTGCGCAGGACAGAAAGAGATGGAGAAGTCACAAGGTCACAGGAAACTGAGGATTGATTTTAAAGTTAACATGAAATTGAACTCCAACATGTCCCTGGTTTTACTTTGCACAATTCAGCAGTGTACTATATCTCTTTATTTCAACTTTCATTCAGATTGGAAATAAGTGAATGTGATTTTACCAAGTGCAACATGTTCCTGGAACAACATTTCAATCAACCAATCAGATTTGAGGGACAAGCTTACAGTTTAGATGCCTCTACATCAGTGTTATTCACCGGCCATTTCCCTATGATTTTAGAGATAACTTAGGGATAGAGTTAGGATTAGGACTACATTTTCAGACAGGAATGATGTTCCAGGATCAACAAAATATGTTACTTGGCAAAATCATGCAAACCAATGGAAAAAACAAAACATTGGCTGTGTCCGAAATCTCCCACTACTCACTATATAGTGGACTATATAGTGAGCTCGCCATTTTGTAGTGGTGTCCGAATGTATAGTGATGATTATCATACCCTGTATAGCAGTGTTGGGTAAGTTACTCTAAAAAAGTATTTAATTACTAGTTACTAATTACCTCTTCAACAGTGTAATTAGATTACTATACTAATTACTCTCTCTAAAAAGTATTTAATTACTTTTAATTACCAATTACTTTTAAAATCCCATATCAATCTCAACCAGCTGAATAATACAAGGATAGACATGAATCTGTTTTAATTCTTTCAAATAAATACTATAAAATTGCATGAATTATCCTTAAACTGACCAAGGTGGAGAAGGTTACATTATAAAAACAAACTTTTTAGCATCAGACAAAACATTTTGATGCTATACCCACTATTGTTTTATGTCTGATCTCATGACATTTCACACTTCTTTCATACATATTTTACAATAATTCATACGAATTTGTACGAGTGCAGTCGTAACATTCAGACACCTCATAAAATGCATACAAATCGCTGTGAGATCGGATCGATCTATACACAGTATTTACCTCAATTACATCAGAAGTAACTGTAATTAAATTACAGATAAATGACGAGTAATCCCTTACTTTACATTTTCAAGGGAAATGTAATTAAATTACAGTTACACGCAACACTGCTGTATAGTCCACTCAATGTATCCCAGAATGCATTTTGAAAAGTAGTGTACACTAACCCAAGCCCTATATACCATCATGCATTGCGCTGATCGTAAAAATGGTGGAGGGGCGACAGCAATGACGTAATCAACGGCGCGTAGTGTCCCAAAGTGGTGTTTCTATTATGGTGGTGAGCTCACTATATAGTGCTCTACTTCCTACATAGGGGGTAGGGAGTAGTGGTTTGAGTGGAGATTTCGGACACAGCCATTTATTTCCATCAATATTTGGTCAAGATCTTGTATTTGACGATGCAAGAGTCTAGCTCTCTGTAAAGTCTCCTCCAGCACATCCCAAAGACTTTCAATGAATTTAAGACCTGGACTCATAAGTGCAAATTCAAGTGTGAATATGATTCGCCATGCTATTCTTTCACAGATTGAGCCTGATGAATCTTGACTTTGTCATCCTATGGCCATGATGTGTTTTTCTAGAATGGTTGTGTAAGAAATGAAAAACTACACACTCCATCAGTTAGTGTTAGGGGAACTCTTGCCAAACATAACATGTTAGAAACATAATAATCTAGGGATGCACCGATATGAAAATTTTGGCCGATACCGATAATTCTTTATATTTGAAAGCCGATAACCGATATATCGGCCGATAAACTTAAATCCAAATTTTTATCTAATTTTAAGAGCCTGATTACGAAAACAAAAGTCTCACAATTAAATCCACGTCCTAAGCGCACAATTATAATGATGTTCTCATAATAGTGTTGTATAGCCGATATGACAGATTTGCGTTGCCAGATTTTCATTTTTTGAAGAGATTTCAATCATATTTCAAGAAATTCAGAAACAGTTCTCAACAAGTGTCTCAGCTGAAGGGAATAATACATTATTTATCAGTTTTAATATATCGGCCACATTTTCTTACCAGGCCGATAACGATAACATACAAAATGAACATATATCGGCCGATACCGATATGCTTGCCGATATATTGTGCATCCCTGTATGAGCACGAGAATCGAAAAAGATTTGCTTACTTTTTCCCCAAATGACGTGCGACGTCACACTTCCTGAAGCCGTCGAGGTTGTAGAGGCGTTTGGCCAGACGTTTGGCTGCTTCCAGGTCGGCCCGGTTGCTGAGAGTGTCATTGCTCCCTAAACCCAAACGCTCACTCAGTTCCTGGTCCACCTCTGGGTCTGCAGCGAAGCGAGGAGGTTTCTCTCTGAACAAATACACAAACACACACACAGAGTTCTTTCTGTTGTGCCGAAGAGACCGGTGATCTCTGAACGATGAGCAACATGCATTTACATGTACAATACTCAATTCCTCACTGAAAATAATAGATTTATTTTGTTGTTGTGGCTATTTATTATTTAACGTAAATAGCATCAAAGAATCATCGCACCACTTCAGTATTTTTTTGTAAGTGATGAAAACAGAAATATAATAGACTAAGAAACACTATTTCATGCTAAACCTTGGAACAAGGGCATTGCACACTGAGTCCGAAATTTTAGTATGCGTTTTTTTCTAGGGCTGTCAAAAGATTAATCGCGATTAATCGCATCCAAAATAAAAGTCTGTGTTTACATAATATAGTATGTGGGTGCACTGTGTATAATTATTTTATATATATATATAAAAAAAATCACACACATGCTTGTATATATTTAAGAAATATTTTTCATGTATATACTGTATTTAGATTATATATAATTTATCGATTAATCGTTTGACAGCACTAGTTTTTTCGTATTCGTGATTCGTTGGCTCTAAATTTTCAAAACACCATTCAAACTGTTTTGCTACGGATGCGAAAAACGCATAAAAAAAAAAAAACCAAAAAAAAAAAAAAAACGAACTGAATCTATTTTTTTATGACGGACAAAAGTTTTGGAGGCATAGTGCAAGCGTCATTGGCATAACATGAGGTCGTATTTATTTTTTAAAGTGCGAAAATTTCGGACGCGAATTTCGGACTCAAGGCCCGAAACTTTCGTCCGTCATAAAAAAAAAAAAAATCAAATCGGGTTTGATACTCTGCGTTTTTTGCATTCCTAGCAAGCAGTTTGAATGGAGTTTTGATTCAGAGCCACCGAATCACGAATACGAAAAAACGTGTACGAAAATTTCGGACTCAGTGTGCAATGGCCTTCAGTGTGCAAGGGCCTTAAGAAGCACAAAAGCCATTACAAGATATACAAAAAGTTCTGACAAACCTCTTCCGGGTTGCAATTTTCCACATTTTTAAATAATACAATCATACAGTAATAAAAAAATTAAAGTGTGGGAATTATATAGTGACCAAAAACAAATGTTTTTCAATATAGCCGACAACATTAAACTACACTGTAAAAAAAAATATTGTTGGTTTAACTTAAAAAATGAAGTAACCTAGTTGCCTTAATTTTAAGTTCATTGTTATTACAATGAAGGAGATTGATTTAAGCATCAGAAACTCAAAATATAATGTTATCTGAACTACTGTACATAAATTATTTAAGTTGATTTGACAAAAGAAAAAATGTTGTGATTACAAATCATAAAAAATATTTTTTTACAGTGAATGACAAAAAATATTCAGAAAGCTTTTTGTATTGTTTGGAAGGAGATCACATGTTAATCAGATTAATCAGATTTAATCAGATGAAATCAATTTACACTAGTAACACTGCTGTCACTGTAGTTTATGTGGGATTTTGGCATAAACTGTGCTTTCCGAGCCGAATGGCAATCAATCACAAACAGCTTTACAGTCAGAAATAATTTCCACTCTGTAATTCTGTTAAACTGTTATTGTAAACTATTGATCCGATTTCCCCTGGTTTCTATAAATGAACGTGGGAGGCTGAATGCCAGCAGACCTCTCTCTTTCTGACCTTCTTATCAATGACTCATGCTAAAACAAACCATGGGCAGAAATGTGTGAAACTCAAATAAAGATGTCTGGAAGCAGACCCGTTCTTAAAGAGACAAGCACGACAGGGTTATTATTGTTGGTAACTATTTATTTTAAGGTACATGTATGTACTTAGTATAGTATTAACAGTAAATTATGCGTAATTACAAGTAACTAACCTAAACCAAACCCTAACCACAACCGTAACTCTATAATAAATATTAATCAGTACTTATTTGAGTAAGTAATGCAACTACGTCACCTTTAAATGAAGTGTAACCAATTACAATGAAAACATATATGTATAAATAAAATCGAACTCAAAATATTAACAAAAACTATCACTAGTAAAACCATTTCTGGATGGATCAAAGTTGAACAATTTGATAGTCAGACGTAATTTTCTGATTTGATGGTCAGACGTTCGTGACTCTCCTGTTCGAACTCGTTCATTAAAATGAACGAATCTTTTTCCGAGTCAATTCGTTAATTTTGTTCGTTGAATGAACCATTGATTGATCCATGATTTGTTCATTTTGATGAATGAGTTTGAACAGCTTATAAAACTTAAACTTTTTTATTTATTTTTTAAATGAGCGATCATTTCGCTAGATAAGACCCTTATTCATCGTCTGAATCGTTTAAAGCCCTTTGAACAGTTTGCACTGAAAGTTTTTTTTTGACCTTGAACCGTTTGGTTCCCATTGAAGTCCATTATATGGAGAAAAATCCTGGAATGTTTTCATCAAAAACCTTCATTTCTTTTCGACTGAAGAAAGAAAGACGAGGACATCTTGGATGACATGGGGGCGAGTAAATTATCAGCAAAAGTTTTTTTAAAAGTGAACTACTCCTTTAATTTTATGTCAAATTGTCATGACAAAGATATCTTAAACAATGTCATATTTGCCATTATAGATCGAAAGACACTTAATGACATGTGATGGTTATGAAGGTGTCATGTCAGTCTTATGCACACCCCTTCAAGTAAAGTGTTACCTCAAACATTTCCACTGAATACTTTCATATGAACCTCATTAGGACAACGTGAGTCTAACACAGGAGTTCAGTGATGATCTGCATCTTCCCAGCCGCTTGCTCTTGTACCTGTTCAGTGTGTGGCCGCGGGTCCGAACGCTTCTCTCCTCCAGCGCGGAGCAATGCCAGCAAAACACTGAGTGCTGGGCTTTTCTTCTCACACCATCTCTGCCCGAACGCCGCTCTGCTGCGACTCTCTGGATCTGAGCCATGTTTGTGCTCCTCAGGTGTTCGTGGACATCTCCACGGCTGTTATAATCTCGCTGTGACTCATTTAATTGTTTATGTCTGTTGTAACGATCCTGAAATTCAAATCCATCCTTGAACTGTTTAGTACGGCTCACAAACTTGACAGATTATCCTATCCCAATAGGGTTCCCACTGATTACTCTCTCTCTCTCTCTCTCTCTCTTTGTAAACTTTGTTGACGCTCCCTAATGACCTTCAGTTCAGTGTGCATGGCATCTCTCAGTCTCTAAAACGTAAACACATCTTTTATTGCTCACGATTCTTCAGAATAATGATAAGCAAAACACTCATTTGGTCACGAACCTCCGTCCTCAATTGAGTGTTTAATCTTACCCTGTACACACAGTTTAGTTATTTACAGGGGTAACAACAACAACATTCTGCAACTAAAATCACAAATGTCAAATTGTCAAAGCGGAAGAGACTTTTCAAAAAACATCTAAATGACCCCAAGCATATAAAAACAGCTTTATGATAAACCTTTTCTCTGTCAAAAACAGAAAACAAAGAGAGAGAGAGAGAGAGCGAAAGACGGAGGTTTTCTGTGTCACTGAGCTTAAAGATTGTTTAATCTGCTCCACAATGATGCTACTGTCCCTGCCATGCTGAATGAACAATCACTCAAACAATTTTAATTGGCATAACAACTGAGCACGCAAATGATAAAATATCTAAGGATTTGATTGGCTCATAGGTTGGCTAACCAGTGCAGATATATTGTACATTTTATTACTTAAATGTTGCACCGGATCTACTACCAACTTAGGAATTTCAATGCAATATTTTCAGATGAAATGTGCATGGTTTGATCAATATGAGCAAAGCCGATGATTTAATTCTAATTATTGAGCTTGGTTGGTTCTAATAGTGACACAAATGGCATTTATGAACGACTGTCACCGCCTAGTGGTTTAGTTGAGCGACTACAGGAGTGATGTGCAGTGCTGCAAGGTGACTCCAAACACACTGCAGATGCTAACTTGTTTTATGAGACAAGAGACATGGCAGATTTAAAATATATAAGGAGTATACATCCTATAAATTAGGATTTTTGGATCAATATAATTTCTCTATTCCCAGCCTCTATGTTTGTCTCAAGGTGATCTATGCGGCGGTTACTTCAGTTCTCTGCCAGCAATCGGCTTTGTCTTTCATCTGTCCTCTCACACACACACAGGAAATATTGCTTACAATCCACCTCAAGAAATACATCCCTGTAGTGTCAACCAAACTGAAAATAGAATGTGTATATAATTACTAATAAATAAAATACATTAAATATTACATATAAAATCAAGGACTGTCAAAGGATTAATCACGAGTCCAAAATAATTAATTAATCGCATCCAAAATAAAGTTTGTGTTTACATAATATATGTATGTGGGTGCACTGTGTATAATTATATATATATATATATATATATACATGCTTGTGAATATTTAAGAAATATTTTCATGTACTGTATATAGATTCATATATAATTTATATTATATATAAATATAAATATTTTATATATAAACATTTTTTTTCTTAAATATACATGCGTGTGTGTGTTTTTAATATTTATACACAGTGCACCCACATATATTATGTAAACACAAAATCACGATTAATCGTTTGAGAGCCCTAATAAAATCATTTCAATTAATATAAACTTAGAAATCACAAGTGGCCCCTCCCCTCCCACAAATTAAACCATTTTAAATTGAAATTGAAAAAATGTTGCCATTAAAAAAAATACTCATGCAATTTTTGTCTTCTTGATTATGGGTTGAAATATTGGGCATTTTGAAACATTTTTTGCCACTTTTCACCAAGATTCAAGTCATAGTAAATCAAAGTGTAGTGAGAATGTTGGTTGCAAACTCCATCTGCTGGAGAGACTGAGCTATTGCAAAGACTATATGAGTCAATGAGCAATAACAAAACGGGTGTGCTCAGAATGGCATACTTCCATACTACTACATTGTCCACAATTTGCAGTGTACAACCAGAGCACACTACTAAGTTTTCACACAATTCCTCACTTTAGTGATGAAAATGACACAAACCTGGGCAGTGAAGGTGGTGGGTTGATCTGCCAACTCCGCCCGTTGCGATCGTCGGACCCACTGCTGAGGCGTTCACTGGATGGTGCCCGTGTGGCATCGGTGTCCCCTGTTATCGTCAGCACAGACTCTGAGAGGCTGGGCATCTCTACGTGAGCCAACGGGGCAAAGCTGAGCTCCACGATTTGCCGCACACTCTGGTAGATCTGACCTTGCACTTGTGGAGTCAGTGTTGGAAGGTCAAAGGTCAGAACAGTTTGCGTACTAGAGGTCAGAGGGTCGAGACTGTCCAGACTACTGTAAGAGGTGCCTTTGGCACGATGTGACTCCATGATGTTCTCAAAATGCCTGCTGAACGTGTCTAAACTGTCTCCGGACTTTCTGCGAGGGCCACGGACCAGGATGGGAGATTTCAGAGCTGGGTGGTTGTGAATGAAATGATCTCGGGGCCTACAAAAAAAAAAGAAAATATTCAGCACCAGTAACACATTAAATATTTAAACAGTTTCTTGAAAGAAAACATCAGTGTGCGTGTTTGCCACTTCCCACCTCTTTAGCATAATGCTGTAAAACTCCTCTTCGTCGTAGCGCTCCTGATCGGCCAGCAACCTCCTCACATCGCCCTGCATCCTGACAGTGACCCAGCTTGCAACACCCTCCTCTTCCTCCTCCTCCTCCTCCACATCCTCCTGTCCATCTGTTCTTTCATTCGGCATCTCTCCTAGAGGGCTACTCCCGGCACAGGAAGTTCCCATGACACTTCGGTTACTTCCAAACGCCGAGTCAGCGTCCTCTTGCTCGGCTAGCAGCACTTCATCTATATCGGTCTCCCGATAACATCGTAACGGAACGGCATCCAGATCGGTCTCGGAGTATTTTAAAGTTCGCCGAATTATGCCAGTTTTGGGGGAGGTGCCTGGGGCGGCAGGGGGCGGAGTCACTAGCTCCACCTCCACATGTTGAACGTCATGATTAGCTCTGAGAGCGAGCTCCTCAAGTGGGAGAAAAGAGGGCGGGATTGGGGTGGAAAGACCACTTGCTGGAGCTGTGGAGGTTTCTGGAACATCTAGATGGATAACATACAATATTCATTCAGCAATGAAGGGAAATAAATCAATTAATTTTGTTGCCATTGATACTGATAATGTTTTGCTGATGACTATTCCAGCTCAATGACATTGTGGCGCTATCCCACTTTCACATGAGAATGCTCAATTACCCCTTTTCCACCCAAAAAAGAACTGGTTCGGAACTGGTGCTGGTTCAAAGTTGGTTCGGAGTTGGTTCAACTTGCGAACCGCTTCAGAACCTATTTGTTTTTCCACTGACTAGAGCGCCCAGGGAACGACGTCGTTATGTCACTGTGTATGTCGGCATACGTCTTGCAAATACAACATTACTTTCGGATTATCTCTAACTCGTATACCAAGAAAGCTTGAAAAACAATTGAAATATGTAAGTCTTTTAATCTTTTCGTTTGATATGTAATTTTTCTGATAAGTTTTGTCCCCCTGTAATTGTGTCTTTTTTTCCTTTCCATTTATTTGTTCTATATTGTGACTTTTCTTCTTTACTTATAATGTCTTTAATAAAAAAAATTACAAAAATAGAAACGCTTGCGTTAACTTCAAGCATAACAATTACAAAGGCGGACTCCATCGTGTTTCTGCAAATGTTTCTCTTGGCTTTGCAATCCTTTATTATGGTCAGAAAAGATGTTTAGAACACATCTAAACCCGGCCCAGCCCCCGACTACGCATGACGTGGTAAAAGAACGGTTCTAGTCCAGCAAAGAGTTGGTGCCGCTTTGGAACCAGTTCCCCCGGCCGCGAACCGGTTCTTTAGCTGTCGAAACACAAAAAACTGGTGCGCAGGCACCGGCTCCGAACCGGCTCTCAAAATGCTTTAGTGGAAAAGGGGCTATTAATTGCTTTTTTATGGAATCTAGATGATCATTAAAAGTGACATTAAAGAGGTCAACAGGCTACTTACTCTTCTCTCGGTCACTGGCAGTGTTTTCTGCTGGAGTGCCAAAAAGAAACTCCCACTTGGCACGAGCAATTTTCTGACAGTGCAGAGATGGACCTGGCACCAAAGAACCACCATCGGACTGTAACGCCCACACAAAATAAACACATTCATTTCTAATAAAAGGTGAGCAGCCTCATTCATTGGAAGAAACTTCAGAAGAATCATTGGTGGAACGAAATGGTTTTATGAACAATGTCTCACCTGTATTCCTGATGATGGGTGGTCTGAATGGTTGCTGTTCTGGCTGGACTCAGGTGAGATGCAATCTCTGTCTCCTAGGCTTCCCGTTACTCCACTGGAGCTCGGGGATGACCCAGCCAAAGCCTGGGGTTCTCCAAACCCCTGTTCATCCTCCCCTCTCTCCCCATCTCCCTCTTCTAATACCACTGGCCCTAGAAGCAAAGCCTGCCTTCTCCTCCATTCTGCCTGTCTCTGTTGCTGCGTTATCCTGGTCATCTCCTCTACTCTTTCCCCTGGGCTGGGGTTTGTTCCACATACGGAATTGCTACCTTTCTCCTCTCCCTGTTCTGTGACCTCAACCCTTGTTTTGTACACTGGACTGCTGGTCTTGAGAGTCCTTTCAAATTTTTCTGTCAAACTGAACTTCACTTCCTCTTTCTTCGCCTGCTCTTTCCACTGCTGTCTAGATGTCCAACTGACCGGAGAATTGTCCACACTCTGACCGATGAACAACCGCCTGGAGATCTCCACGCTTTCTGCAATGACATGGTCATCCCAGTCCTCCTCGTCCAGGAACCAGGGTTCCCCGGAGGTCCACTCCTCTCCAGTGTACTGTGGAGGCTTGTGACGGTGTAAAGTGGGGCTGTTACAGACTGGCAGTTCAGCCCTAAGCTGACGAGGATCTCGGAGAGGAGAACCCACGTCTGCATTGGACAGACTTGGACGAAGAAGACGAGACGGGAGGGCTGGAGAATCAGGGGCTCCCACTGGGACAGAGCAGAATGAGTGATCGGTCAGGTCATCTCTTAAATCTGAGCTCTTAGCAGCTGTTGATTCATGCAGGTGCGGAGAAACCCCATTAGTTGTAGGATGGTCTTCATGCACAGGTATGTTCATCTTAACAGCCAAATGTTGCACTGGACTCTGTTGCTGGATTTCTCTCGAAGGATACCCATAGTTTGTGCTGCTTAGATTAGATGAACCTCTGAAAACAACGGGAGAAGGAGAACTGCGGACTTCGTTGAAAATAGTTGAAACCTTGGTGGCCTCTTCTGCAATCTTGCGGGCTACCTCAGGACTGTTCAGGGCTGAAGAGTTATTGCTTCCACTAAGCTGGTTCAAACCATGAGTGGGTGTGTTTGTGAGGCTTGTTCTTTGTCCTGACAGAGGCTTATCTTCAGCCCGGCTTCCCCAACTTTGACTGACTGTTGTGGAACAGTCTTGCTTTGAAGGGAGGTTCTGGTTGGGGCATCCTTGGGACCTGGATTTGGATTTCTGCTGGTTGTTATGCCCCGTGTGGGATGAATAAGCATCTGGTGCTGGGCTTTTGGGGAGACCACATGCAGCTTCGACCCTGCCAGGGTCAGGATCATGGCGGTAGGCACTGCAATTTGGCACTGGTGAACCTGCCCAAGACTGGCATCGTGCCCTCTGCCGTTGGTGAAACTCCGGACTCCGGTGTGGGCCACGAGAAAATTTGCACCTCAACTGAGGAGAGCCAAACTCCTCCAGGGCTCGCTGTGTTGCTGCTTGACCGACGGGATCCAAAGTAGAGGAACAAAATCCTGGGTAACCCATGTGCTGGTGAAATGGACTATTATTGCAGGAAGACTCATTAGGGTGAGACCGCTTTGGATCACTACACCTCTTTCGTGAGCAAGCAGATGCCTCTTTTATCCCACTGGGACTGTTAAGAGGACTCTCCACAGTTTTGATGTGGGGCTTCTCAATGTAGCTAAAAGTGACGACGGACCTTTGTCCGGGCTCTGGTTTAGAGTCCTGTTGATGACTACAGGCTCGACAAGGCGTCCCCGGACCAGAGAATGACAATGATTGGACATGTTTCAACTGTTTACAGTCAATGTTGTTTTTGAAGCCAGAGGACACCTGTTGGAATGGTTCCTGCTGGGGAATGCTGCGTCTTTGAGGGGAATCCAGAGAATTGTGTGTGGGCTGTAGTAGAAAGCTTACATTTGGTCTGAATGTGCTGCTGGGAGGTGTGGAAAATCCTGAAGCCACCTGGGCTAATTTGGTCAACGCCTCAACAGGACCATCTTGCTCCACTGTTGTTTCACAGGAACTACCTTTCTCGTCATGCTCTGGTGGGGATCTCACCTCCACATACAAATGCAGGACTTTTCCAGTTTGAGACATGGCGACATAACAGTCCAACACAAAGAGACACTGAGACGAAGACTTAAGAAAAGACAGACAGAGAGAGACAGAGATCCTTTTCCTGTTCTGGTCAGGTTGTGAAGTCCCGTGAATCTATTTTTAGTCCGTTCTTCAAATACCCTCTCCTGCCAGACCAGCTACTACAGATGGAGATGGCATGGACCATTGCACCTAAGACACAAGGAAGAAAAGTCAATTAACAAATTGCGTTTTTCTCTTTGCCACAATTATTGTTAGTTTTCTCAAGATTTATAAAGTGATGGTGAAAGTGACGTGATGGCCAAGTATGATAACCAACACTTAGAGTTTGTCCTCTGCCCTTAACCCATCCGAGTTAGAGCACACACATTAGGAGTAATAGGTAGTTAACACACTGGAAAACTGTGGACATACACACCTGGAGAAGTGGGCAGGCCGGGGAGCGAGAGCCTTGCTCAAAATACACCTCAGTCATTTCCGGCCAGCATTGAGAATTGAACCTACAACCTTCAGGTTACCAGTCAGCCTCTCTAACCATTAGGCCACAAGTCGACTGCACAATGACTTTAAAACTTAATGCATGCTTTTCTGTAAAGTTCTTTGAAACAACATGGCTTGTGAAAAGGTTTATACAAACAAAAATGATGACTTAGACATTCATAATGGGATTTGTGCACTACAAATGGACAGGACAATTAAATCTAAAAATTTCTTTCGAAAACAAAACAATGTAGCAGAAAAGTACAATGCATTTCTCGTCATGACATATCAGTGGAAATCCAATTACAGAGGCAGCAACCCGATTATATCAGCCGTGGTCATCTGACTCATGATCTCACTGATGACATACTCATTCTATCGGTCACCCGTTGATTTAGCCTACACTCTATAGTACTAACCACACAGAGAGAATGTTCTCCAACACAGCACTGAACAGAGACTTCCAGGCTGCATTTCTCTATCATACTATTTTGAAATGGACTGATGGCATTTTAGCTTTTTTTTTTTTGCAAAATCTATTTTTAACAAAGCCCTTCTGCATAAGAAATGCCAAAATGACCATCTGCGTGAAAGCATTGGCTTATTTACTGAAATTAATCTCTTAAAATCCAACATAGTTGTGCACCCAAACCCCCCCCCCGAAACACACACACACGTTATGTGTTAAACCTCAGTGACTCATACAGTAAAATCCCATTCAGGCCTAAGAATTAGCAATGCATATTTTAGATGATGATGCTGCAAAACTTAAGCTTTAAACCATGAAAAGGAAAATTTTAAATAAGGGAATAAACACACATGAATTTGGCATTACATAAAAAAGGCTAAATCTCCAATCACACAGGCAAGTTGAAATAAGCCATTGTGTATTTTTACTACACTCTAAAAAATGCTGGGTTGTTTGAACCCAATTTTGGGTAAAATATGGACAAACCCAGCCATTGGGTTAAAAATGTAATTTAAAAATGTAACCCAATGGCTGGGTTTGTCCATATTTTACCCAAAATTGGGTTCAAACAACCCAGCATTTTTTAGAGTGTAGAAATATGAAGCTCCTCTATGGAAGTGCTTCCTGAAGCCTCTGAGACGCCTGGTGATTGATTGAAGTATCGCTCATGTGTCTCTTTCACACACACACACACACACACACACACACAAAAGTGCAGGTGCATGTCATTGATTTTGCTGCAGCAGCACAAGTGAAGGATAAATGAAAGCACTATGTCAACAATTGATCAATGAAACACACATGCATAAAACCTACACTGACACCGTTTACACCAAGAAAGGGTCTTTATACTAGGAGGCCAGAACCACTTTAACTCAATGCAAGCTCACACAACAGAATGTCCTTTCTGCCGGCATGCATTAGAAGTATAAAGACCAACTCAAGGTTTTGCTGGTTGGCATGTCCCAGTTAGCCCCTGCTGGCCAATGCTGAACAACACCATCTGGACCCAAAAACATCTTCCTCCATTAACAGCTATTCAAAATGTACGTAAAAAACAAGAAACAAAACAAACAAACAAACAAACAAACAAACAAACAAAAAAAAAACATTTATGCATTCAAGCTATACATTTTTACCAGTATGTTCTAGTTGAGTGACTTGAAAACTAATTTGATCAAGTTTTACTAATTCAAACAGTTGGTTTCAAACATGTTTTGTTTCGGTTTAAAAAAAAAAAAACCTGTGCACATTTAAAAGTGTCCAAAAGTAAATAATCTGGAATTTTGTTCATTTAAACCTGTGTAAACAAAATAGTAGTTTCTATGATTTTGAAAGTGTTTAAACAAGGAAAAGCTGATGTAAAATATTATTTTACATCTCAATTATTTTACATCTCAATAAATATTATTATTTCAGATTCTGCACTATATACACCAACATATCAATACAAACACACCAAAGCTAACTTTAATTGAGTCCACACATTCTCGAAGTTTGTAATGTTTAAGTTAAGGGGAAAAAAAATGTTTATTTGGAGTAAACAGATCAATAAGCCTCATGCAAACCGGACTGAGTTATTGCAATAATAGTATTGGTCCAATCAAAATCTCTCTGACCTAATTAATATTCATGAGATATGCAAAAGTAGATTCAAGCCAACACGTACACATACACAGCCTGTGTTGATGCTTAGTGTAACCCTGCTCTGGTTCCTCAAGATCATCCCTCTCTCCTTCACTTATTTTCTCCCTGGACTTTCTCTCTCCAAAAATACTCGCTCATCCTTCAGCACAGCGGGAATATTACAGGCCATCTCAGCTAATTCACTGAAAACCATCTGTGCCGACGGGCCATTTAAACACACACCTTCACACCTTCATCAGCAGCTCTGTTACTCTATTATAACCTTCCTCATTAAAAGCCTCGCTAAATACCACAATTTGCTGCACTTTACCTGCCATAATGCCATGTACAGTTTGTTTTGAGAAACATGACAGGAAAATGTCACCTCGCCAGGGTTGGTGAGATTCACATTGATGGGTTTTAATTGCACTGGGACGTTCACCTGACAGTGAGTGTGTTCACTATAACAACAGATCCAGCTCTAACACAAGCACTTCATAGATCACATAATAACATACCGTAATGAACCCTCGCAGGAATCAGTGTTCCCCAGATACGCATGTTTACAGGCAGAACCCCAGTCTAGTTAACCAGCGCCACAGAAGCCGTCTCTAATGTTGACAGAGCAGTTATTGTATGACCTTCTGAAGCCAGTCCTCAGATACTCTTTCAGAGGACACACAGCGCACTATTTTTGGCATCATAACACTTTAAAAAAGTAAAACATGTTCCATTAATCTTTGTTTTATTGACAGCTACAGTGTGGCTGTAGGGGGTCATTTATTTGTTAAATTTGACAAATATGAACATGAGTCTTCATTTTTCTGCAAACAAATACATTTAAAATAAATTCTGCAAATTACTTGAAGCGAGGAAAACCCACAAGACGAATACAAATTTAAGACAGCCAAGCTCCTTCTGATCCGCATGTATTTAGCACATTTACACTCTAAACAATGCTGGGTTGTTTTAACCCAAAATTGGGTCAAATTTTTTTCCAACGCCAAATGTTGGGTTAAAAATGTAGTTCAAAATTAACCCAACTTTTTTAATTACATTTTTAAACCAATATTTTGGTTTGTCCATAATTGACCCAAATTTGGGTTGAATAACCCAGCATTTTTAGTGTAGTCACTTTTGATCCATTTAAGCCCTTCTTTCAGTAAAAAAAAAAAAAAATAATAATTTTATTAATTATTTCATGAATTATTGATTACTATTCATAAATAATTATTATAAAAATGATTAATTAATGTATTAATTATTTATTAAACTCTAAACAATGCTGGGTTGTTTGAACCCAAATTTGGGTAAAATATGGACAAACCCAAATGTTGGGTTAAATTTTTTTTATTTTATTTTTTTATTCAAATTTTAACCCAACTTCAACTTTCACTCGCAACTGTAATTTTTTTAATTGCATTTTTAACCCAACATTTGGGTTTGTCCATATTTGACCCAAATTTGGGTTTAAACAACCCAGCATTTTTTAGAGTGTATTGACTAATAACTTTGCCCTGAATTATAAGAAAGCTGTTCTATTGAGAGGGGTGAGAGCTGTAGCCATAGAGACAGAGACATCTCTCTCTCCCTCCTTCCCTTTCTATCTGTCACTCATTCACTTTCTCACATCACGCCAATTAAAATGAAGGCACTCAAAGGCACACCTGTCGCAATACAGAATATGAAGGAGGCTCCTGAAAGTGTGAATAGGACAGGCCTCTACAGGTCGTGTGGGAGCAGCTCGACACCGCATTAGTGACACTACATGAAACACATTTACTGTACATTCAACATCAGGTGGAGATCCAACACAATAACACATTCGTTCGTATAGTAAAAAAGAAGAAGAAATGTATTAATGAACTCCAAAGGAGTAGTTCACTTTTAAAAACTTTTGCTGATAATTTACTCGCCCCCATGTCATCCAAGATGTCCACGTCTTTCTTTCTTCAGTCGAAAAGTAATTAAGGTTTTTGATGAAAACATTCCAGGATTTTTCTCCATATAATGGACTTCAATGGGGTCCAAACGGTTCAAGGTCCAATGCAAACTGCAAGGTGACCATTTGAGCTTCTAAAACTTAAACTCTGTTATTGATTTATTAAATGAGCGATCGTTTCGCTAGATAAGACCCTTATTCATCATCTGGAGTCGTTTAAAGCCCTTTGAACAACAGTTTGCAGTTTTCACTGAAAGTGTCTTTTGGACCTTGAACCGTTTGGACCCCATTGAAGTCCATTATATGGAGAAAATCCTGGAATGTTTTCATCAAAAACCTTAATTTCTATTCAACTGAAGAAAGAAAGACATGGACATCTTGGATGACATGAGGGTGAGTAAATTATCAATAAAAGTTTTTTTTAAAAGTGAACTACTCCTTTAATAACGACATGCATAAAAAAGCACATTGAACTAAAAAGAAATTGGCACAGCAGCGAAAAATATACACTTTGGCTACAGATTGACACATACTCTCATCTAAATCTGGCTGTGAAGTCAATAAACCAAAACAGGGTCATGATCACATCAACACTCGAGACGTG